GTTCGTACGAACCCTTTGTACGAACAAAAGTAAGAGAAATTTAGGAGAAGAATACGAACATGTTCTTGCATGAGGCCCAATGTCTTTGTTCCTCATGTGACTTTATTAAAGGATCAGTTTGGATTAAAAACACTGCTGAACAACAGAGCTCATAACAATATTCACTCCTTGGATGTTTTATCCTTTCATTGCTGTCATGAATCAAATATGGTTTAAATAAATTGTCCTTAAAGACGAAAAAATTGGTAAAAACATACTATTGCAAAAAGCTGATTTTATTTTCACCAAAACTGTTGAGATGATTAAAAAATATCATTTGATTGAAAATTACAGTTCAAATCGTCCCAGTAAACTTTGTGAACATGTTTTGTTTTTAAAATAGTTGTCAGTAATAATCCAACAGCAGCTGCAGTCTTCAGAGTTCAGCTGTGGGATCAAACAGGTCTATAAAACCTCCTGGTTTGGTCACCTTCAGAGTCTGACATGTTCCACAGTCCTGTTGGGCCTCAGCATGATGACACACAAACACACATGAGTAGAAAGTATTTTGGATCAAAACTTTTTCCCATAAAAGGTAAAACAGCAGCTGACTTACATTCTCTGACTTCACCACGGCTATTCTGTCGACGATGACTTTAAACTCCTCTCTGTACTTGGCTGTAAAAGACAAGAGGAAATGTTAAATGTCATCTGATAACACTGCTCTGGCTGTTTGAGGTTGAAATAAACAAACGTTATAAAATGATGGAAGCAAACATTTAACCTTTGCTCTGTGTGCGGTCACAATCTTTAAAATAAACAGACAGGAAATGGTTTCCTCTGACATAAACAAAGCTCACAGCAGACCTGAGCACAAACCTAAAGACTAAACTCCAAAAGTATGGCAGRCCATTTTAACATAAAATTAACTTCACCACACTTATTCCAGATATCTGAAATTGTTTTATGGCTTGACATGTTAGTTAATTGAAATATCTTTAATGATATTTTGACAAGTCAAAATAACTATTAGGGATATTTCTAATTACATTCTGACCTGAATCAGATTTATCATTAAAGGAGAACAATTATGGGTCGTAGAAATGTTTATGGTGTGTCTGTGGGCTATCCAGACCATCTTCATTCAATTTAATGCACAAAATAATTCTCAGATAATAAAATTTCTCATTTTCTAGTTCTGCCTGCTCTGTCTTCTGTTCAGAAGAGCTGTTTATGTTAATGAGCTCTGTTGGTAACACCCTCCAAAAATCTGTTGACATTAACTCCGCCC